CCCTCCTCCCTCTGAAGCCCACCCCCCCAAACCCACCCCCCATTCACCCCTTCACTCAGGGTGCGCGTCGGTATGGGAGCGAGGAGTCGGACGCCATCGACTGGATCATGCCCCCCTCCCGCAGCATGAACTCCCTGTCCGACGTGGGCATCAGCGAGATGTTTGCCTACCACGCGGTGACCATGGCCAACACCATCCGCACCAGCCTGGTGGTGTTCAGCCGCAAAGGCCATATGCCCGCCCTCCTCTCCCACTACCGCCCCGACTACCCCATCTACTGCTTCACCGAGAACGAGGCGGTGCAGCGCCGGATGGCCCTGCTCCATGGCGTCACCGCCATCTACACCCGCTTCTCCGAGAAGGCGGCCGTCACCTTTGACGCCGCCATCGAGGAGCTGAAGCAGCGCGGCTACGTCAAGGGCGGCCAGCTGGTGGCCATCGTGCAGAGCGGGCGCCAGCCCATCTGGAGGTCCTCCTCCACCCACAGCATCGCGGTGAGGGCGGTGCCCCGCGACGTGGTGCCCGACGACTCCGACGAGGAGGAGGAGGAGAAGGCCAAGGCCAAGGCCGCCAAGGTCGGGCGGGCAGGGGTCACCCCGGCCATCCTCACCTGACGGCAGCGTCTGCGCCGCTGTGGATTCTGGTGGGAGGGGGTGGCAGGCTCACCTCCGCAGCCGAGGGCGTGCCTGCTGCACCTGGAAGCCCAGTGTGTACAAGAATTGACATTTGGTGTGAGGATTGGGAAACTTAGTGTCAGCCAGGGGGCCCCACAGAAGGGTGCGTCCAGAGCCGAGGTCGCGGGCCGAAGTAAAAACCCTTCCCGCCTCGCGCATGTACCCCTCGAGAATCCGAGTGCGGGCCATGCATCCCACGAATACAGGCTGCAACACCTTCATCAAGCCACATCCAGCCAACCAGCAAGTATAATTCCGTGCGCCCACAGGATGATGTTCGCCATGACGAGCATGGCCACCGGGTGTCCCGCGACGGCGAGGTCGGCCTCCAGGGCCCCCGCCCATGCCGGGCCTGCCGCTCGCCATGCGCCGCGCCCGCAGCGGGTGGGGAGGCCCGGTGCTCCCGGCGCATCGAAACCACTGCGATTTGCGCGCACGCCCATGGCAGCCTCGGTAGATAACGCCCAAGCGGGGGTGGGCAAGCTCATCAGCAAGGTGGAGATCCCGGCCTTCATCCCGCGCCAGGATATGATGAACCAGCTGTTCCGGTGGGCATCCGACCTGGAGGACAACGGGTATGCCCTCATCGGCAGCCCGTGCAAGGTGTGAGAGGTATGGGACTCCAAGGGCTGCATTTTTGCCAGGTCCCAAGGTGCTGGCGTCGGTATACATGCAGCATGGGGACAGGGAACGGGATTGTGCAACACTCAGTGCCTGTGAAGGAATCTGCAAGCCAAGCGAGTCCTTCCACAGTCACCTCGCTGGCGTCGTGCCATACCCTCGGCTCATGCCCACCCCCCCGTTGCCCTGCCCCAGATCACCCCGCTGATGGAGGACGAGCAGGTCCGGAACTTCACCATCAGCCTACTCAACAGCGGGGTGTCTGTTGCGGACATCCTCATCGCATTCGACGAGGATGTGGCCGTGAAGCACGAGTGGATTGGCATGGGGCCGGGTGAGACGCGGCGTGTGGGGGTGTCCAAGGGAGGGTCCCCTGTGGTGGAATTGGGTGTCTCTCTCTGGCTGCGGCATGGCATGGGCGCGTCTCTCCATGCGCCTGCCCCCTCTGCAGCTGGGAAGGTCGATGCAAACCCGACGACTGCTCGCAATGTCAGAGGCATACCCGGCGGCCCACTCGCTCCCTCCCTCGCCCATGCGTGCCCGCAGACAAGTTCCCAGTGCCTGAGGGTAAGGCCACCGACGTGCATGGCAAGCACCTGGAGGTGCGCAAGACCGACACCAACAGCGTGTCTGACGCTCTGCGGGCCGCCTTGCACCTGTTGTGCGCGAATCTGGCGGAGGCGGTGAACAAATACTACGCCTTTGGCTCCTGCTTCTCGGAGGATGCCACCTGATGCGGGTGGGTGCCTGCGGGAGACCAGTTGCTGTTGAGGTTTTATCCCTCGGAATCTTTCCGCTTCTGCTGCCTCATCCTCTGACCCCTCTGCAGACCGTCCTGTGTTCACGTTTTAATAGCCGTCAATGGAGTCCTTGTGGCAATGAGAAGGGCACGGGGCGTGTAGAGCTGAGCAGCTTGCCTCATGGGTCGTGCAGCACTGGGCGCCTGCCCCTCTGCTACAGTCAGGGCCTCCAGGCCCCAGCCGCCTGCTCAGCCCCCTCGCGCTGCCCGTACCACCTGCTTGAACTCCTCGTCGTTGGGCTCCAGCACCTGGCGCAGATTGGGAGGCTGGCGCACCGTGACGCTCTTGTGATAGTGCACAAGGCCGGCGCCTCTTCTCCTTGTTTGCAAGCTGCAACACTGTTACGCGGTGCCACGCATGCTGCCTCGCACTGAGACCCCTTCACCCCTCCGATCACACCCTCCATCCAAGCCCACAAACCTGGTCAATCAGGTTGTACTCCACGGCCTCGTACGGCGTCATGTACCTCGGCCGCTTGATGTTGCTCGCAGTCTGCTCCTCGCTGTGTCCCGTGTGCTTCGCCAGCAGGCGGACCTGCGCGGTGGGCCAAGGTATCCCATGAGGCACAGGGCCTGCGGTCTTGACAGCAGTGGAACTCCACACATTGCAGCTGCCACACGCCCCCACCGGCCCTGCCTGCATGCCCAATGGCACGCTCCAGCACTGGCCGGCGGTGGACAACCCCCCCCCTCGGACAGCATCTCCCTTCTCCCCCCTCGGCTCCCCACCGCCAAGTCGAGGTCCACACCAGGCACCCACCACTTCGGCGTTGGTCTTCCGCAGCTCGGTGCGGTAAATGTCAATGTCTGTCGCCTGCATCTGCTGGAATCGCTGGATGGGCTGCCGGATCATGATGCTGGCGGAGGGCAGCGCGGCCCTGCGCCCGGGCTCCCCCGCCGCCAGCAGCATGGCCGCCTCGCCAAAGGCGTTGCCGATGGCGATCGTGGCCACTGGCGGCTTGATGTAGCACATGGTGTCGTAGATGGCAAAAGCCTCGGCCTCGTATCCCAGCTTCCCGGCACCTTTCTGTTGTCATATTGGTTAGTGTGATGACGGGATCAGGGCCCTGGATGGCCCATGCCGAAGGCGCCGAGTCAGAGGACAGCTTCCGAAGATTCCGCAGGACTGACTCCGGGCACTTGCCCTGGCAACGCAGCCTGTTCCAGGGCTGTCACACCCCCACACTGTGACACCCTACCCTCACCGCTACGCCGGTCGAGTTGATGTACATGAAGACGGGGGCGGTCACGCTCTCATACTGCAGGTACAGGAGCTCTGCCAGCATGAGCTCCGTCACTTGCGGCATGAGGGGCATTCCCTGCACGGTGCGAGGGCAAAGGGTGTGGATTGGGGGTGGTCGGTTTGATGGACGATGCAAGCACCAGGCCCCTCCACCACCAAGGGTATGGGCAGGCCACTCACCAGGTACACGATTCTCTCCTTGAACAGGTAGGAGGGGAGGTCCGGGGGGGTCTGTGACGTGGCATCGCCTGAGAGTTGAGGGATCGACCTGGAGGGCCCAAGGAGGGGTGGGTGGATAAGCCGCGAGGAGCGGGAGCTGCATGCGGATATGATGCATGGCAGAGATGGGCTTCTCCCTCGTGACGCTCCCTGTCGCACCGCTTGCACATCCAATCGCCCCGCTGCTCGAGCCTGGATCCGCTGGACGCGGCGTCCCGCTGTGTTCTGGAATGGCATCAACCGGTTTTGCTCTTTCAGTCGCTGGACCCGGAAGGGGCTCACAGGCAGCACCGCCATGGCAGCCATGGCCTCGGGGCCACAGGTTTGGCTGCTTCTTCCCCTTGATCCACCTCTTTTGTAAGATATGGAGTATAGACCTTTGATTTCCCTCAATATCTGCGGACAAGTAGCGAATGTGGTTTAAGACCTCATCGTCGCGGAGAAACTTGGAAAGGAGGAGCGTGCCCGGCTTTGCTCGAGCCCCAAGTGGCTGTCAGTGCACCACCACCAACGCGAGTTTCACTGAGAATGACGTGTCTCAGCATTCCATTGCGTTTCATGGGAGAACCATTTGCATGCAGGGGCAGATCACGCTGCCTGGGCTGCAACCACTGGGATCCCCAGGGCCTCCCTCAAGTCCTTGCTCAGCGCATGGGGGATGGAGTGGAATACTTGCATCTCCTCTGTGCAAGCCTGAGCCAGGGATGCATCCAGCACCAAGACCTCCTGCATGAGCGATCAGGGGGGGAGCTGGATGGAGCATGGTGTCAGATCTAGCATGGCGGAGTGGCCGCCAGACCAGCAGCAACAACCAGCCAGAATGACCACGCGTACCTTGCTCTCCAGGTTGAAGCGCATGAAGGGCTCCCTGTTCTCCTGCACCAGCTCTACCAGATGCTGCAAGCTGTTCACCTTCACATCATTGAACTTGGCCACCTGCAATGTGAAGGGTTCAGGAGTGCGGGGAGTGTGCACTTGCCATGCGACTGCGACAAAGGGGCGCACATCCTCGAGGATACGCTGTGCATCGCTGCCACAGACGTGCACACATGAGAGCTCTTACCTGGGAGTTGGAGATGTCCTCATATCCGATGGTAGCCTCGCATGCCAGAACCTGGTTCAGCATGACGACTTGCTGCCCTGGTCGATCCTTGTGAGTGTACAGCAGCCGGTCCAGGAGTTTGACGGGGGCTTCCCGCAGGTAGTCGGGCCCAAACTCGGATGCCAGGTACGGCTCTGCAGCAGGTTGGTGCGAGGGAGGGGGCATGGATCAGGCAGGCAGCCCAGCCGCACGAGCTTCCCGCGCCGCACTGCGTGCTGGGGTCGATGCCGAACCCCAACGCCCCTCCCATGCCTCCCACCTGTGAGATTGGTGAACACCAGCCCCGCCACGACAAAGTAGGATGGATCCTTGTTGAAGAGGTGGTGAGGCACGAGGAAGTCGGGCCTCATCAGCCTGTGGTGGAACAAGGCCATGGTGAGGACGACCTCTGGGCGGCATGGCTGGGCCATGTGCCAGCACCACAGGCACCCTAGCACACCGCGCTGAGCACCCACAAACGCCAGACAGGGGGTGTGCCCAGCAAGGCAGCAAGGGCAGACCCACTGACTTGATGCAGAGGTCCAGCTCCTTGCCCTCTCTCAACACCCGCAGGGATGCCACGTCACCAGTGAACTTCTGGGACGTGAGGAAGCCTGCGCGGGTGGGGTTGAAGCGCGCGATTGCCCCATGGCAACCTGTGGTCCGGCTCGCACAGAACAGAAGCGCCTCATGCAGCAACCCTTGCACTGCGTAGACCCAGAGCACGTGGGCTTCCCACCCCCAGCACCCTCCAGCCGGCTGCCTGCTCACTGTAAGCGATGCGCTCGTTGCTCCGGAACCCCACCGTGCCGTCGTTGGCAATCTGTGTCTGGTCAAACTGCATCAGCACGTCCCCCGGCTGCAGCACGCCGGCAGCCTCGCTGAGGGGCAGCACCTCCCGCACCAACACCCCCTTCTGTCCAGGGGCCATGCCGTGGGACTGCCTGCAAGGTGGAGGGTGGAGGCATCAGACGTACGCAGTCTCAGCCCAGGGTGGCGTTCACCTCGACGCGGTATTGCATGTCGTGTGATTCTGAAGCCTGCATGCTCGAGGCAGCACCCCTTCCTCCCCACCCCCCAAATCACGTGCCTGAGCGTCGCAGACTCCATGCGCTGCCACTGGATGCCCAGGGCCGGAAAGCCGGTGAAGGTGCCATTTCGTTGGTAGTCCACCAGGAAGTGGTGGATCACTGGGGTGGGGATCACGTAGCTGTGCAGGGGGAAGGGGTTTGGGTACATACTGGTGGGCATGCCATGGAAGGTAGGGTTGCAAGACCAGCACCTTGGAGGGCAGGAAGCAGAGGCGGCCAGGATTACCATCCACACTCGGGTCCTGCCCACTCCCTCCCCTCAGGTGCCCCTGGGGGGACAGATGTGGCCCGGCCCCAGGCAGGCGGCATGGGCTCCCATGGCACCTTGGATCCCAGCATCCATAAGCCCCTACACCAAGCCCCAGCGCACCCAATGTTCTCCGCCTCGCTGCCGGCGTAGGACTGGAAGGCCACGCCCACGCACTCGCCCGCCTCGTTGAAGACCGGGCCCCCACTGTTGCCGCTGTTGATGGCGGCGTCAATCTGCACGCCCAGGAGCTCGGTGGCGCCATGCGCATACGAGGTGACCTCGATCCGGGACACCACTCCCGAGGTCACCGAGATCTGCAAGGGCGCTTGAGGGGGGGCCGTGGTGTCAATAGTTGCAGGGGGAGTGGGCTGCAGGCAACCCTTTGGTCGTTGCACTGAAGCTCTCATAACAAGGACAAAAAGCCATGTGCCGACCCTGAAACCCACCTCCTCGGAACCCGTTCCCACTCACAGTGTCTCCACCCACAGGGTATCCCACGACAAAGACCGAGTCCTGGAGCTGGGGCAACGGCCCCAGCACCACCGGCTCCACATCCTTCCAGAATTCCGGGTCCTCCACTGCGCGTAGAGAGAGGGTTTGTCAGTGGTAGGAGCGAAACGGCTGCTGAAACTGCAGTGAACAGGCCAGCGATGCACGCGCGCGTCTTGCAGGTCTTCTTCTCAGTGCGCTAGGAACTGCGTGCTTCAAAACATCCATTGCCAACACAAACAAGCACTCCATTCTCCCTCCAAAGCTTGGCCTCCTGGCACCCCCCTGGACCGACCTGTGAGCAGCGCGATGTCGCACTCAGTGCCGATGGCCAGGACCTTGGCCAGGAACTTGCTGTCGTCGTCGCGCCGCTTGACCTTGACCTGCGTGCGTGGCGGGCGCCCGCTGGGCGACGGTGCCTCCGTGCTTGCTGCATGACGACAACACTCACATCGATTCCAATCCTTGGCAGTGCCCACGCCATGCATTCGGGGCCACACATGCCGTCTCTCCGTTTCACCCCCTCCCCCCCCAAACCTTGCCTGGGAGTGGTTTTCCACGGAGTGCGCATTGGTCAGCAGGTACTTGCCGCCGAAGCGGTCGCCCTCCAACGCGATCACAAAGCCGCTGCTGGTGCTGGAATATTGGCGCTTGCGCTGCCAGGGCAGGCTCATGTCCGGCTCCGTGTGGACGCAGAAGACCTTGCACACGGCGTCCATCACATTGATCTGTGAATGTTGTGTATGGAGAGGGGAGTGGAGGGGTCGCATGAGCTTGCTGTGCTGCGCTCAGACGCAGCCGTCCAGCAGGGTAAACCTGTGAAGGCGCCACAGCAGGTGGGATCCCCGGCGGCGGAGCATGCAACCCTGTGATACATACACGACTGGCTGTCAGCCCAGCCTCCCACTCGGCTCAGCTTGTCACTCACCGTCTCTAGGCCATCTGCTCCCTCAGGCATGCTGGGGACCTCACCCAGGTACCTCGCAGCCGTATTGAGGTGGGGATCATGCAGCGCATGGTAGCCCTTGCTGACAATGCCTGCATTATGAGTCATCGGAGGAGAAGCTCCCGAGTCACGGACCGGAGATGCCAATCTCACTTAGGAGGCGCAAGGCCCAATCACTAGCATTCAAGGATACAACCTGGGAACGCACCCTCAACGTGAGGTGCAGGGGCTACCTCCTGCACCGGTTGGGAGGCGCCTCTGCCAGCCTGCTGCCGCCTGTCCCTGGGCTGGGCGCATGCCACCCGGACTGAGGCGGTGCGGGGAGGGTGTGGGGGCCTACCGGAGCTGAAAGCCCCAACGACCCTCATGACGGCGTGCTGCGTATATGAATGGATTCGAGGAGTGCTCTATTGATCTGAAAGTTGCATTAGTCTGGATCGGGTCCCTCAGCAGTCCAAAATCGGCTGGAGTCGCGCTCCGCCGATGTGCGGCCCCTACGCCGAACGGATCAGGGTGACGTATCTAAGTTGGGATACGCACAAGACCTCCCATTGACTCGTGAAGATTTCTGGCAGATTTTCGCCACAAGCGATGTCCACCTCACCGTCTTCAAGCTGCACGGGCACAGCATGCGCCGGTGCAACCTGCTGCACTCCTTGCGTTTCGGATAACGAAGGGGGGCGCAGCATGCATTTCCCGGTCGGGATGCCCGAGAGCCCAACCTTACCATACAAAGCCTGGTGCGCGGTACACGATCTGATCACATCGTTAAAGAAGACAAGTGGATGTTTTCTCATTTTTTTCTGCTTTGTCTCGACCATCGGCCGATGTGCGAACCAGGGGTTTCAATAGAGACGGCACCCTGCCCTGAGGATCGATTACTTCTCACTTAACCGTGAGGATGGCGGTGTCGAGCATTCGCTTGTTCGACGCCCACTGCCATCTACAGGTGGGTTTGTCTGCATCGCGAGGGTGAGGTCGTGAGAGGACCCTGTTGGCCAGCCTCACCAGCACTTCCCACCCATCACCACGCAGGACGCTCGTTTTGGCGCGGGCGAGTTGGACGACATCCTGAGCAGGAGCAGGGCTGCAGGGGTCAGCCGCATGGCGGTGAATGGCTGCTGCGTGGAGGATTGGCCGCTGGTGCATGCCATCGCTGCGGCCCATGGGGAAATGGTCGTCGCCAACTATGGCCTGCACCCTTGGTGGGTCGGCCGGCAGCCCGACCACTGGCTTGACCTGCTGCGGCAGCGCCTGCTGGCCAATCCCGGGGCTGGCCTCGGGGAGGTGGGTGGTTCTGGGGTCTGATGGGGCAGTGGCATGCCTTGGTAGCACACGTCGCTCCATGTCTGGTGTCCAAGGTACATGAGCAGCCGCCAGGGACATTTTGCCCTCACTTTTGCGGGCTTAGACCCCCCCACCCCACCCCCATCACAGTGTGGCCTGGACAGGAGCAGGAGGGCCCCCCCTTGCCCCTTTGAGGAGCAGGTCTCGGTGTTCAAGGCGCAGCTGCTGCTGGCCCAGGAGCTGCAGCGCCCATTGTCTGTGCGCAGCTTGTCGGTTGGAGATGTGGAGGCATCAATTCATGGGAATCTGTGTGAACACCCAAATCAGGGTAGAGCTTCCTCGCACAATGTCTGCCCAAGTACTGCCATGTGTGCTTGTGGGGCACAGTGTTTGCAGCGACACCTTCAGGTCTCGGTCAGGACCTCTTCCAGCATGCCAAGCAGCTCCATGGTTGCAGGGATCCTCGTGGCACCCCTCCTCCCACCAACCACAGGTCCACTGCGTCAGAGCGGTCGGCCACCTGCGCGAGGCGCTGGCCGAGGTGCGCCCGACGGCGCCTGTGCTGCTGCATTCCTGGTGCGGCGCAGCCGAGGACGTGCGTGCCATCGCCTCCGCACACCCCTCCGCCTTCTTCTCCGTATCGGGCGGTATATCAGCACTGCCCCCCGCCAAGGCCATCCGCACGGTGAGCGGGACCTCTGCTGTATTTCCTGATGCGCCATGTTCACACCCAGCCCTCGCGCTCACTCCCTCATGACATCGCCTCTCCCGCCCCGCCTCCCCCCTTCAGCTGCGCGCCATCCCCGCCGACCGCCTGCTGCTGGAGACCGATGCCCCCGACGGCGGGCTGCGCCTGGGCCCCGCGTGGCTCGAGGCGCTGCCAGGATTTGCACGCTCCGCGCCCCCTTGCCCGGAGCGCCAGGAGCCCGCGGGGCTGAGGCGGATGCTGGCCCTCGTGGCTGCCGCGCGGGGCGAGGGCGAGGTGGGCCTCGCAGCGCTGACCTGGCGGAACGCGTGCGCCGTCTTCGCCGGGCTTCCCGCCGCCCGCTAGGGGATCACGGTGACTGCATCGCGCCGCGGTCTCAGCCTCCCATCACCTGCCTCGCCTCGGGCGCTCCTGCTCCGCCTGGCTTGCCCCGACCAAGATCCCCGGCGACCACCACGCCTCAGAGTGAACCTCTGATGACAGCCTGAACCTCCTGCTCCACGCCCTTGACTGCCACCCAGCTCCGATGCACCGGCCCACTCATACATCAAGCTTGTCGGAGTGTTGACATGTTGGGGCATCGAGAAAGTAGACAGAGGAGCGGGGCAGCCTGTTTCAGGCGCTGAGCGGGGGGGGCGGGGGCGCGGCATCGCAGCACCCCACCCCTCCCCACGAGAAACGAAATGGGGGACGGGCACCATGCACTGATCTTGTATGGTTCTCAGGGCCAGGGACAGGGCATTCGGGGCCGGGCCGGGGCATGGATGGTGCCCTGGGCCCAGCCCGGCCCCTGCCTCCATGGGCACCAGGGTCGGGTTCCTACCTAAGAATGTGTGGGGAGCGGATGGGACAGGGAAACAGCAACACAATGGGGGACACAGACGGAAGGGTACAGGGTGGTGTGTGCCTCGCAGGGTTCCTGGGTCGCACGGCGGGAACCGCAGCGCGCGCAGACCGCGCTTCGAGCCCCCCCCGCAGCGGGCCACGGCGAGGTCGTGCTGGGCGGGCGCGTGGCTGGCGGGGTATCGAGCCGGCCCACCTCGCAGCCTTCCCTCCCTCCTCAGGGAGGGGGCCTCCTCTCCATGGGGCCGGGCGCCGCGCCCGCTCAGGCGGACGCCCCCTCCAGCAGCGAGGAGGGGCTGGCCAGCTTGGCCACCTGGCCCAGCTTCTCGCTGGAGAACTTCTTGTACACGGCCGACAGGGAGGCGGCCGACGCCCCGGCGTGCAGCGCGGCCAGCATGGCGGCGCAGGGCCTCACCTCGGCCTCGGTCAGCTTGGCGTGGCGGGCCAGTGCGGGGGGCAGGCCAGGACCCCTGTTCAGGGCCGCCTTGGCCGCGTACAGCGCGGCGCAGGCCGTGACGGAGCCCGGGTGCTTCAGGGCGGCGTAGTTGGGCAGCGCCAGCTCCACCAGGTAGGTCGCATAGTTGACCAGCTCGCTGCAAAAGGGGGGGGGCAAGGGGATGGAGGCTGTTGATCTGGATATTCGGTAAGGGTCAGCAAGGAGCACAGGCGTGCCAGGCTTTCCTCTTCACCTCTCAAAACACCCTGCATCGCCCCCTCCGCCATCCTCCAACTCACGTGTCACTGGCGGCGTCCACGATCTTGAGGTAGCGCGAGAGGAACTGGTGGGCCGTGGGGACGGTAAGGTTGAAGCGCAGGGTGTTCAGCATCACCTTCTCCATCTGCAGGATCTGCTCGCGTGAGTAGGCGCGGTCTGAGATGTAGACAAAGTCGCGGACCTCCGGGGCCCAGATCTCCTCATACTTGGACGCGATGAGCATGGCGGTGACGCCCACCTGTGGGTCAAGGCGGTGTGAGGGGTTTTGCAAAGAGACCGCCATGGCGCACTGGTAGACAGACACGGCCGTGTGCCAACCATGCCGACACCTGGCATGTTCTGAGAACATGCCTGCCCCTTGACACCCCACGCCTTGTGGACCGGAGTCTCTTCCCTCCCTCCACCATCCCCCCCCCACACAGTGCCAGGCAGTCCTCACCAGCTGCAGGTGCTTGCGGGTAACTTGCTTGGCCTCCAGGAAACGGTCAATCAGGTTCACAGTGAGGTACAGTGTCTCAGGCATGAGCTGCGCCGGGCAATAGATTTGAGAGACTGGATTCCACAACACTTTCTGCGTCAGCACAGAGCTCAGAGCGTTTCAGGCGCCCACCCTACCACTCTGTTTCGTTCCCCCACTGACCTTGAACTTCAGGTGGACGTCCACCAGCCAGTCGATGAGGATGGCCCGCATGCGATCGTTCACATCGTTCTGTGGGGTTGCCAGAGGTTCAGTGTGAGCGAGTCGATCCCACAGCAACCTCATGTGGTCACCATGCTGCTCACAGAGACACGGACCGTGTTCAGCCTCCACACCTGCTTGGACATGTAGTCGCTGGCCACCATGAACTGCGGCTCCACGCCCTGGTAGTAGCTGAATATATCCTTTGCATAGTCTGCCACCGCGAGGGGGTCGGAGGCAGAGGCGGCATCCACGTCCTGGGGCGCGGAGGGCCTCGCGGGCTTTGCGCCGGCAGCCGCGCTGCGGTCCTGCAGCAGCTGGCTCATGCTGCGGCCCGGGTTGGAGCGGGGCTCAGTCCCAGCAGGTGCGGCGGCGCCCAGGGTGGCATCTCGGGGCCTGAGGCTGTTACGCGGTTTGGCGCCCCAGCTGTCGGTGGAGTTGGTCTGTGGAGGGGTGGAAGGGGATTGGATGAGGGACAGGAAAGGGCGATGCGAGCGATCGATACCACGTGCATCGCAGAGTCGAATAGGCTCGCCACCCCCTCACCAGAGCGTTACTGCCATCCACAGTGGGTCCCACAGCCGCGAGCTGGGCGGCAGCGCGGCGGGTGAGCACACCGGGGCGGACCTGTGCGCAGTGCCGGGGGATCTGGTCAGGGTACCGTTCAATACTTAGCGCCCAGCACCGCACGCATTGCCAATATCATTGTTGGTAAAGTACATGAAGAATGATCGGCTCAGAAGCCTGCCGCGAGCCTCGCGCGGAGGACTTCCAACGGACGCTCACCTGTCCCGACAGAGGTGCTTTAGGGTCCACCGGTGCCGCATCCTTGCCAACGTTCACCTTCTGATGAAAACCTCCGACAAGGTTGCCGATGTCGCCGAGCGCCCTGCATCGCCAGCGCCAGTTTGAAGCATGTCAGTACACCGAGGCAAGCGGTTTGAGGGTGCCAGCACCTGCTAAAGCCAAGCACGCTGCCCGGCGTCATGAACACCCTCTGCGCATCTTATCCCACCTCCGAGCAACTGCCTGAGCGGCCAGGGAGGGCTTCCCGATCTGGAGGTGGCTCTTGGCGTCGCGGACGTTCGGCCCGTTCTCGGCATCTGCCGCCTTCGCAAACTGCATCGTGCCGCCGCTTGCCTCACGAGGACAGGGGAAAGCTCCCGAACACACTGGACAGTGGATATAGCAGGCGGATCTGGTGCGATCGTGCCGGGTTATTCCCATCGACAGCCCTGCGAGTTTTGTGTGTCGGCAGGGGTCAAAGCCCCTGATGGCCCCCCGGCCCCGCCATGGGAAGGGCCCTCGCACCTTGCATGGGGGAGATGGCTGCCCTCCTGTGACCCGGAACGCGTCTCTTTGCGTCTGGATTATCCTTGGACAGCAGGCAGCCTAAATCAGCGCAATGTACCCCTATGCGAGGGTGTTCCATCTTCCATGGTTGAGCTGTTGCTTCGTACAGTACTCGGGCTGGGTGGAAGGGTATCCGCTGGGCTGAGCGGCGAGCATGACGCCACTGAACCAGTTGTTGCCGGGGAAAGGCTTTGTGTGTCCAGCATTCTTTCAAGTAATTTGCAGTGCGCCTTTCATATCTGGTTGTGCCCAGTGGCCATGCAGCTTACAGCGGCGGGTGCGTGCAGCCACAGACTGTGCGACAATGGACAACACAGGGGTCTACTTTGCGAAGGAGTCCTTGAGCGCACACGTGCGATTGAGAACCATGGCATCATCTCTGCTGTCTGGGTCCACGGTGAAGTAGCCAAGACGCTCCAGCTGGAACCTGCAGTGACATTTGAGATCGCCCGGAATCAGAGCGGGTTCCACAGATGGGTGCAGCGCCGCAATCCACGCAGCACCGGCCAGTCTGCATCGCATGCCCGCACAGCCTGCGTGCAAACTCTCGCACCTGTCGCCGACGCGCGCCGCCGCGAGGGCGGGGGTGGCCAGCGCCCCATGCACCACCGCCAGCGAGTTGGGGTTCAGCTCCTCCAGCCAGGTCTCGCTCCCCCCCGGGGACTGGGTGGTGAAGAGGGTGTCGTACAGCCTGGCCTCAAAGGAGGGCGGCTCCACCCCCGGCTTCGGCTGGGCCACCCAGTTGAGCACACCCTGCGCCCAGGTGGTGTTCGGGAGGGGATGAAGCGCACTGCCCCTCATTGGTGGAAGGTGAGGCAGGATGCCAACTTCTGTCGAGTTCACCAGAACGGTGCCCCTCACACCATGCAGAGGGCTGCCTCCCACAACACCCGAGTCCGGTCCCACCTTGGGGGGCTTCCTGCCCTCGCCCCGGAAGTCGCGCTCGTATGTGGCCTCCAGCTCTTCCACCTCGCCGCCTGGCCCCTTCTTGACCCCCGTGCACGTGATGGGGTAGGCGTACCTGGGGAGAGGGTGGACCGACAGGAGTCAGCTGGAGCGCACGAGACGGCAGGGGAAATGACTGCCTGGCAGGAACAGGCATGGGCATCCCCAATTCCTCACCCCTAGGCCATTCAACCCCAAGCTGCCTTCCAGGAGTGTAGCCTTTCTCTGGACCTTCTGGATCCCTTGTCTTGACCTCCCCACCCAACCCCGGCCCCCTCCCTCCTTCCACCTGAGCATGATGGTCTTCCCTGGCGCCAGCCCGTAAAAGTCCTTGGAGTCCTGCTCCCGGAAGTCCGTCGCCTCGATGTACACCACCCGCGTGAACGGCACCGTGTACACCCCCCCACCCCGCCCAGGAAAGTCCTGGCGAGGAGAGTGTAGAGGAGAACGAGAAAACTGGCTCAAGGACGACCTCTGGAACAAGAAGGATGCCAGTTCGGGCTCCAGGCACCGCTAGCCATACATGCTGTTCAACATTTCCTCCCCTGCAGCCATGCCCAACATGAATTCCACCCCATCTGCTCGCACCTGGGCCTCCACCTCCTCCCGATGCCCCTCCGCCAGGTTGGTGATGGTGATGCGCAGCGGGCGCAGCACGGCCAGCCGCCGCGCCGAGGTGGCGTCCAGGTCGATGCGGATGTGGTGGTCCAGCTTGTGCAGGTACACCTCGCCCTCCGTACGGGTGACCCCCATCTCACGACAGAAGTTGTTGATGGCCTGCCAGTGTGGTGATGATGATGGGAGGGGGGGCGACCAAATGGAGAGCTTGCATGGGCGAGCCGCCACAGCACGGCGCGGCCACCACCCGCGGCCCAGCATGCTGTGGTCAGACCCCGGCAAGCCTGCGTCGACGCTGGCGCGGTGAGCCCGGAGCAGGGCACCGCGCTCGGTCAGCCGATGCCATGGCACCCACCCACTCCCCGCCCTTTCACACCCCTCCAGCCCCGGCCACCTTGGGGGTAACGCCCCGCCGTCTGAGCCCAGCCAGGGTCAGGAGCCGGGGGTCGTCCCAGCCGTTCACGTAGCGGTCTGTCACCAGCCGGTTCAGCTTGCGCTTGCTCAGCACGTTGTTGGTGATGTTCAGGCGGGAGTACTCCCAGACCACGGGCTTGTAGGTGTCCAGGACCTGGTGCAGGAGGAGGGGGGGGGGCCATGGGGGTTACTCTGGTGCGGATCGGCCATGGCCAGTATCGCAGCAGCATGTCGCTGACAGCTCTGCGGGTACCGATCGACACTCGGACCCAGACCGCGCCCCGCCAACCCCACACAAGGCCCAGGCCCCCCTGAACCTGGGCCCCCGGGGCGGCAGCCAGCCAAGTACAACACGCACATCCAGGAGCCAGTAGTAGGAGGCGCGGCGTGACTCGAACTCCAGCGTGCACAGGGAGTGCGTGATGTTCTCCAGCGCGTCCACCAGGCAGTGGGTGTAGTCGTAGGAGGGGTAGATGCACCACCGGTCACCGGCGTGGGGGTGCTCCGTGAACTTGATGCGGTACGCGATCAGGTCAAACATGTTGTAGTTGTCGTTCCTGTGGTCCTGCCTCATCCTGCATGTGGCCGGATCTTGGTGATCTGGGGGGCGAGCTGGAGGCCATGGCGTGAGGTCGGTGGGCCAGGTGGGGATGGGGCCCGACCAAGCCAGAAATCAGGGGATCACTGCAGGCGAGCGGCCGAGTACAGTGGCTGTTCGAGGTGGCCCAGCGCTGACGTCAGGCGCACATGACTGACATGGCGGCAGGAACCAAAGCGCCCTTCCCAGGAGGAGAAGGCAGGGGTGGTGTCAGCTCCGCGACCCGCTGCATGTCGCGATCATCCAGGCCACACCAGACCAGGCCATCACCCACCCTTCCACCAAGCACCGACCTGAGCGTGGCCTTGCCCTCGTCCACTAGACCCCGGCGCATGTCTTCGAAGAGCTGCAGCGACTCGGCGATGGGCCGGTCCCTCCAGGGGCTGGGCTCCCGCTTCTCCCGCGACCTGTTGGTTTCATGTTTGACGGTGTCCGGGGGGTCGCCAGGATCTAGTGGATGGGCGCAGCAGGAGGTGGAACCCACGGAATGACAAGCATACCTCGGCGGCCAATTGGCGTTGGGGCAAGGCGCTGCCACACGCATGTCCGATGCAGGCCGTTCCTGGATCGCCTGTGAGCATCGACCCCAGAGCCACAAGTCTCCCCCCCCCAGGAAACGTACTCCTTGATCTCCTCGCCGGTCTGGTGGCAGACGTAGGCGTTCCCCCCCTTGATCAGCTGCACCGCCAGCTCGTGCAGGCGGTCAAAGTAGTCGGAGGAGTAGGTGACCCGGTGGGGCGTCCACCCCATCCACGCGATGATCTCCTGGATGTGGTCGATATACTCCCGCTTCTCCGCCTCGGGGTTGGTGTCGTCGAAGCGCAGGAAGCAGTCGCCGCCGCGCGGCGGCCATGCCAAAGTCCACGAACATGGCCTTGGCATGCCCGATGTGCAGGTAGCCATTGGGCTCGGGAGGAAAGCGCGTGACCACGCGCCCCCCCGTGGCGCGCAGGTGCTCCGCCAGCCGCTCTGCGGAGTTGGAGATGCTGAGCTGGCTCCCGTCCGAGAAGGCCACGGTGGTGTGGCACTTGTTGTTCTCCTCGGGTCGGGGCAGGAAGGCGTACGGGTCGGCGGTGCGCCAGGCCTCCTCCTCCGCTGCCGCGGGGCCGGGCTTGCCGGCCGCCGCCCCGCCCTCCGCCTTGGCGGGCTTCTTCTCCTGTGTGTGTCGTGGATGGGAGGAGCGCTTGGAGAGTCAGGCCCCGTGGACACGGGCCTTGAGCGCAGAGGGTTTCGTTGGCACACCCGGCGCGGACCCCCTCAGGGCGGCGCAGCGCCGGGCACCGAGCGTGCCCTCGCTCCAGGCCCTCAACCCTCCGGATGTAGTCTTCCCTCTCCCCCCCTCCCACCTCCCTCCCAGACCTTGATCTTTTTCTTTCTCTCCGGCTTCACGCAGTCCGCCTCGGTCTTGGGCCCCAGCAGCGCCTCCACCTGGCGCTCCAGCTCCGCCTTGGCCGCCGCGAGGTCCACCCACTTCAGCCCCGCCCGGATCTCCGCCAGCAGCACGTTGGTGTTGGCGTGGTACCGCTCCTCCTGCAGGCGCTGCGCGTGCTGGGCGAGCGTGCTCGCCACCGCCGCCGAGATCTGGTCCGGGGTCACGACCACGCCCACCCCCGCCGCTTCGTCCAGCGCCCCGGCGTCCAGCGGCTCCGACCCCGTCTGGGCAAGGAACTCCAGCGCGGCGTCCAGCTGGGCGTTGCTCTGTGGCAGCAAAGGAGGGCGGCGTCGGGGTGGGCGGCCCTGTGCCTTGCAAGAGAGTCACATGGACAGGCCTATACATTTCCGACAGGTGCATGTTCGCACCATCCCACCCAGGCCCGACGCGCCTTCAGCTTGTCGGACGTAATGTACTCCAGCAGCGTCTTGCGATGCACCAGCGCGTTCCCAGGGTACTGCAGGGGGGTGAGGACGCAGGGTGAGGGGGCTTGGAGCCGCTGGTGACCTTGCTGCTGGCGTCCAGCGCACCGCCAGTGCTAAGCCAAACCGCGATCTTGATCCCTTGGCACCCCTCCCATCACCTTGCTGGCTACGGTGTAAAGCAGAGCGCCCTGCTGCTTGGTGCACCCCGACTCGACGCCTGCTTCGCGCACGGTCTGCACCAGGGCCTGCCTGAACTTGACATTCTTGATCGCCCCTCTGCAGGTAATGGAGGAAGGCTGCCCTGACATGATGATTGGAGAGCGATGGGTCAGGAGTCCCGTCACCCAATCGATACAATTCAGGCTCACGCTAGAGTTCCAGGCGCGAGCTGGATGGCCTCGAAAAGGCGAGTGGCCACCGCCTCCTGCTCCTCGCGGGTCTGCGTCGCCATGACCAAGGGTGTTGAGGGACTTGTAAAGAGGTGAAACCAGACTACCCACCCCCGATAAAACTTTACGGCTCTGGATGGTGCGATCTTGGTCCAGTCGGATCTGCCATGCGGCAAGCGGACCCAATACTGTGCCCTCGGGCCATGCTGGGCGGTGGTCGACGACAGCACCCCCAGCATGCACTTCCGGAATTTGGATCAGCAAAGCCCGGGCCGGGACATTGGCAACGCATTCCGTAATGAACTCAACCATATTGCAAGGCCGCGGGATTGACATTATTACAACTCCTGGCACTCTGCCCAATTGATCGGGCCCTTGTCTGCTCCTCGCACCGATATGTCCTTTAAAATCGCTGTCAGCGCTCGTGACGGCAGGACCATCCTCCCCAAAGGGGAGAAGTACATAACCCTTGCTGACAAGGTGAACCTCGCTCATTGGTTGCTTATATTCAGGAGGATTTCAAGGGTGGCCACTGCGTGATCCACCGTCTGCATCGCCCACCCCAGGATGCCACGGTGGCCGATCTGAAGCGCGGCATTGCCGACAGCCGTCCCGAGCTGTATACGGCACGGCAGCGGCTCACCACTGTCGCCGAGAAGGGAAAGAAGGGCACCGTCCTGGAAGATGGAAAGAAGCTAGCGGAGTACGGGCTGACCAATGGGGACACCGTCGTCTTCAAGGACCTTGGGCCGCAGGTCGGTGGTTCCAATCAAGCCCCTTGATCCCGCAATGATTCATGGAGGGCCCGGGGACAGTTGGCGGGAGCACCGAGCTCACCCAAGTTGTGTGACCCCCTTTCCACTGCAGATCGCGTACCGCGCTGTGTTCTTCTGGGAGTACTTTGGGCCGCTGGTGGTCTACTCCCTCTTCTTCTTCTTCCCCTACCTGTTTTACAATCGCACCAGGCAAGCCGTCCAGGGACCCCAGGGTGGGCCAAGGGGCCTTACCGCAGACAGAAATGCATGCAATTCTTGGTGCGACGGCAAACTTCCCAGGACGGCATGCGTTTTCCCTGTATGTAGTAAATCCCCCCTCCCCCGCCCCCCTGCAGCATCCCGGAGGAGCATGGCTTTGCCCAGAAGGCCGCACTCACCTTCTGGGTTGCGCACTACGCCAAGCGCATCGCAGAGACGTTCCTGGTGCACAGGTGGGGCATGCATGCAGGAGGACATGTACGGAAATTGTGCCATTGTGGTCTGTTCGGTCGGCTGGCTCCCTTGAAGTTGGGCTTTACCCTTGCCTGGTGTACTGTCAATCCTGCAACTGACTGCTGTCGATCCTTCTATCCGGACAATGAGGTCCTGCATGCCCCTGCACGCCACAGTTTTGGGCATGCCACCATGCCGATCCGCAACCTGATCAAGAACTGCTCCTACTATTGGGGCTTTGCGGCCTTCATCGCCTACTTCATCAACCACCCGCTCTACACCCCGCCATCCACCCTCCAAACCGTGCTGGCCCTGGCTGCCGCCTTCACCTGCACGCTATCGAACCTGAGGTTTGTGGGGTTATTGGGCGCCTGGTGGGGTGGATCATGTTCCGACGCACAACCAGGGCAATCCGCTCACTTCACCCCTGCGGAACTGTTGTGTGTGATCCACCAACCTGGACATGATCAGCAGGCATGATTCTGGGGCATGGTCAGATGCATCCAGGTGCCGAGCGAGACCCTCCTGTCTAGCCAGCACTGAAGGAATCTTTGTGCGGGTGCCCCCCTCCTCCACATTCCGTCTCCCTGTGCAACCATACAGGTGCCACTTGATCTTGGCAGACCTCCGGTCCCCCGGACGCGGCGGGTACTCCATCCCACGTGGGTTCCTGTTTGATTACATAACCTGCGCCAACTACACCGCTGAAATCTGGTCGTGGCTGTTCTTCTCCCTCGCCACCCAGAGCCTGCCGGCGCTCGTCTTCACCCTGGCTGGAGCAGGGCAGATGGCGGTGTGGGCGGCGGGCAAGCACCAGAGGCTGAGGAAGGTGAGTTGCAGCGTAATGTGGGATGGGGGGACCTGGTCCAGCGCAGAGGCGCCTCACATGCGGTACCGCGGCTGGTGCCTTGCGTGGAAGTCCGTGCAGCTCGACAGAAGGAACCAGGAGGCAGGCACCGATCGGCCCGCATGGCGCCATGGTAGCTTGCGCCTCTGCAGCCGCATGTTTCACTCATCCTTGCCTCCCATTCCTGGCACAGCTGTTCGATGGCAAGGAGGGCCGCGAGAAGTACCCCAAGCGCTACATCATGTTCCCTCCTCTCTTCTGATGCACGTTCTGTCATGATGCTTTACGAAAATATGGGTCAGAGAACTTGCATGTCTGTTCATTCATGAGTAGAGCTCCACAGTGCAAGCTGCCGCGAATCTAGCTGCGCACCAGCGCGCGAGTGTGTGGAACTCTGTCGTGAAGGGCAATGTTTTGGATGGTCGACACATACAATAGACCGCTGTCGCCCCTGAGTTGGCACTTGAGCATTTATACTTGGAGTAAGCATTGAGCACCGGGGGCTGGTGAAGCCTGTGGCTTGCAGCGTCCGGGACTCGGTGGGAGGCTTTAAACTTCTTGTGATCTGGGAGCCTGGCTGCCTGATCAGTGCAAGCCCGCCCTAGCCGATACGAGGAGCCCTTGATAACCCAGGCATCGTCCGGCTGCGGGGATGGGTCTCACCCTCTCTCGCATCGGGTCGGACCCATACTACGCAAACTACGAAAAGAGTCTGGCACGAATCCAAAAGGATGTCATCAAGCTGAAGGTGGGAAGGCGTGTAAAGTCCGTTCTGGCGACCACATTGTCAGCCTGGATGGACCAAACAGTCTGTGCCATCACAATGCTGTCGAGGGCCGTGGGGTTCCACCTCTTCCCGGTGAATTGTGTCCCCTCTCCCACCACCCTCTCATCGCAGGCCCAGCTCGAGGCCCGGCGTGCCGTGAGTGCACACATCCGTTCTCGCTTTCTTGGCGGCTTTGCGGCCGTGTATGTGGTCATCCTGGCCTACGCCGCCTGGGTGGCACGCGCCCCGCCCGCCACATACACATACCGGCAGCACCTCACGCTTGTGGCGCCTGCCCTGTATGCCCCGCCCGCGGCCTGGCTTCTCTACCGCCTCCTGAGCGCGATACTCCAAGCCCTGGACTCCTACTCTGCACGGAAAGTGGCTCTCCTGGACTCCAAGCTGCGGAAAATGGTCGCGGAACTCAAGGTGTGGGGGGCTGGATGTTGAGGAGAATTTGCAATGCCAAGAGTATGTAGGGAGAGATGAGAAACCCACAGGAAGCATCTGTGGCGTGTGAGCGACACCCTGTGCGTCTGGGGAGTGCAGCTCCCAAGCATCGCTCTGGCGTGCACTGGCGTCCCGCTTCCCACTCGCCGACCTCTTGTGCTGCCTGATCCCACACAGGAGTCCTCGCGGTATGAACGCACTCTGGCCCTGCTCAAGAAGTATGACCCCGAGTACAAGCCGCCCCTGCCTACGCCTGCGCCAAGGCCTGCTGCCCCAGCGGGCAGGGCGCCCGGGGTCCAGGGGCCACGGGCCCCCCCGCAGCCTCAGCCGGCGGCGGGGCCCAAGGTCGTACCGGCCCTCACGCAACTCTGGACACGCGCCGCCGACAGGCTCATAGGTATGTGCGTAGGCTGGAGAGTCGTACTGATGAAGCGGTGCTCAATAGCCCTTATACAGGCGGGCACTGCCATGGATCTGAAGGTGCAACAGAGGGTGATGCGCTGAGAACCCGCACGTTCTCCCGGCCACCTCCATGACCACCTCCAGGGCGCCTTCACCGACCGCACTCCCCCCTTTCTTTGGCAGCGGACGACCCGGTGGCGCTGCGCCTGCTGCAGGAAGCGCAACGCGAGGCCGCCGAGCTGCGCGCCGCGCTCGTGGCGTCGGAGACAGAGACGCTGCGCCTCCAGGCCCAGAATCGGCACCTGCTCACGGAATTGGGGGTGGACATGGGTTCTGACGTGACAGGCCACCAGCCCCAGCCAGCGGAGGCCGGGGTGGTAGAAGGCAACGCCATGCCTGCTGGAGGCGAGCCGGCAGTGGCGGCCGGTGAGACAGCGTTAGATACAGTCGCAGCGTCCGGGAACGGAAAGACGGGGGCGGCAGGCAGCTGTGATCCGACACTCAAGGAGCCGGTCACGGAACGACCCAGGTCCCCTGCGCGGAAGCGCCTGGTCTAGTCCTGAAGCGGGGCAGTGGCTTGAGTTGTTGCCTGTATGGCCTGCGGCACGAGGGGTGTACTGTTCCAGTTCCTGAGGCTCTGCACCACCTGCCAGTGCACAAATCATCCGACAGTGTACAACCTGCGGATGTTCTCGTCTGCCTATGCTGAGCACGCCAGTGCTCACAATAAACACCCAATCTGCAGGCTGGACTTGTGCATGGATGTGTACACTGGTCTCAAGGCTTGCAGCACAGGGGCACAGGTGGCCAAGCATCATGATCAGGCTCGGGATGGGCATCTTTTCAAGCCGCACCAGGGACATCTTCTGCCGCCCTGGACGGACGGCAGCCTCCTCGTGTACACCCATCCCCGTCCTTCCCCCGCCGCCTCACACACGGCAGAAGGGGTGTGCCAGGAGGGTGGAGGTCAGCACCTCCCCCGACAGCATCTCCCCCAGGAGGTGCCACCCCGCCCCTTCGCCCTCCGCCAGGAAGGCCGTCGCCTCGCCCCAGTCCGGCTCGTGCTCGCAGTACTGCCTGTTTGTTAGTTGGTGGGCGGACGGGGCGCGTGAGGCCTTTGCGTGGTGACTGCCTCAGATGGGATTGGAATGGTCAAGACCCACCGTTCCAGAAAGCGCTCCCACCCTGGGACCACACAGGCGTCGAGGCCTTGGAACCCAACCCCCATGGTCCCCGACCTGAAGAGGCTGAGATCATATCGGTAAACAGTGCCTAGCACACGACGCAGCGCATCGCCCTGCGTCCCCGCGCCCGGCCCTGCCGCCGACAGCCCGCCCAGCACCGCCTCGAGCAGGACCAACGCGGCGGACTGCAGGTCGGCGGCCATGCCCTGGCGCAGTGGGCTGTCCGCCAGCCCCGCCTGGGTGTCCAGCATGTCCTCAAAGGAGCCGGCTGTGTAGGAGGAGGGGGAAGGGGGGGGGTTGATAGGGAAGGGGGGGGTTGATAGGGGAAGGGGGGGTGAGTAGGGGAAGGGGGGGGTTGAGTAGGGGAAGGGGGGGG